AGTGGGATTATAAACGATTGTGTACAATGCCCAAATTAAGCAGTGCTGAATGAATTTATAAGGAATATAAATGTTATTGTACCGTCTATGGTATGACAGATTTCCACACTTCTCGCTGTAAACAGGTTTAATTGTTTGTGAAATGAAGCGAGTATGAAACGTTTGAGTGAAACACATGTAATGAAATATATGAATATTTAAAACGTCTACGGGTATTTGAAGTTTGTCATTGTGTATATCAATACCATCAATATACCTTCAGGGTTTTTCTCATCTAATATTTATGTGAACAAAACTTTTCGTTCCCTGTGTAAAAATTTAATTTGTTACTGATTGCATAGTGATGACGCTAGTCATAATTTAGACACAGTATTCGCAACCTAAATTTGTCAAATTTGCCTTGAAATGGTTATATTTTCTATGCCACAAACAAAGATTCAAATTGGAAAACATTCTAGGGAAAAAATTCAGAACTCATCTGAGAAATTTCAAATTGCCTTTCGAGGATTTATATATATCGAAGCGTCGTGTCCCGAAACATTCCGTGTGAGATATCTTGTATAGTATCATCCAATTCAAATACTGTCCAAACCAGCCTACCAAAATATTCTTGTCAAGTTAAGGAGCCAAGGAAGGATTTAACACAACCGAAGCTTGATATCTCAGATTTTATAGAAATTCTTCGCGAAATCGAAGGAATTCTTTGTAAAGTTTTCTGTGTTAGCTTGGATCTCCCTACAGTTGTAGTGTTGTCAGTATTTCATTTATAAAGTTCAAAGGAATTCTAGACGACGCCACTTGTCCAGAAGAAACCAAGCTAAAAGAACTTAGTCGTTGTTCCACACGATTTCAACTCCAGCCCGGTATTACCATTCCAACCAGTTTTGAAGTGGTCTTTATCCTGTTCCTAGCAGAACTTCCATGTAGATATGTTTATAGTTTATTAATGTTGTATAGTTTTAAGGTTAATAATATTATTTTATTGTATGTTTTTGGTTATTGTCGTCGATATTGTGAACGGGTTAGCTATTTATTGTAATTTATTTCGTTTAACCGGTGGAATGTTGGACATTTTGACATACAGGGCCGAATCTACGCCCATTGGTGTACGTGTACGTGTTTCCCAATATTTGTGCTTAAATGCACCAGTTTACACATGGGACAAAGTGCATGAAATACATACTTCAATGTGGGGTTGGTTTGTTCTATTTTCATGCTTTAAACCGTGAAGTTTTTTAAAATACATTTTCTATATCAACGTTATTGGTGTTCTTTTCCCAGTATTATGAATGGATTTGATAACCTACTTGTTTTTCTGTGTGAAGATTAATGGCTAAAACTTTTTTTTTATTATTGGATCGCGTCTAATATATTATACCACAATCCAAAATACGAAAACAAACTTTTTATTTTAATCATGTATTATCAACGTTTTAAATCGCCCCAACATAGGAATGTTGAAATCTGAACTCTAATCATGTCCTATCTTAATGCAGTTAATATTTGAATCTGTCATTTTTAAAGGGAAATATCACAATATAGTTTTCATGTGATCTACCGTATAAATTTCTTTTAGTATGTTCGCTTTAAAGATGCACGAAAACGGTTCAATTTATGAATAATTTACAAACATCCGCCTAAACATTCCAGCATTAAGACTTATCGGTGCTAGATAAAATGTTGTGCTGTAAGGATGTTGGTGGGGACTGTTTCCTAACCAATTTTTTCAAGACGCTCAAAACTTTCTTGGGCCTATCTGGGGAATTAGTATCCCCTACTTCATCTCTGTATATGTTATTATAAGAAATAAGTATTTATTCAAAACGTGCTAAGTATTGTACAGTGAGGAGAACAGTGAAAAGGAGATTTGTATTATTATTCTAGTTGTCTAGACAAACTGCTTTAATAGAAAATTTTCTAGTTGATATAATAGACCATTGAGTAGAGGAAAACACTACTTTACTTTAACATAGCAAATAAACAGGCAGTATTTATTAAACACTTATCATATTTTACTTATAAGAATATATTAGAACGTTAATATTGGGTTCCTGAGCAGCCAAACGGGTTGGATTTCAGGTGCAAAAGTACGTAAACACAATAGATAAATCTTCTGATAGATATAGCATGAAATAGATCAGACAAGTAGACTCGTATTTTCTCTGTATAAAAAGAGACAATTTAAATCTATTCAATATTAGAATTAGTGTTGCATACGAATTATGTCGATTTTACAGAGCCATGGGTGTCATTTTAAAAGTAAGATAAGGTCCAATTTACAAAGAGCCCACAAGGTCGGAGCCCTTTTATATTCCGTGTATTAAAAATAAGCGTGACAGAACAATAAAATAACTTTTATGTATTAAAACCGTGTATTTAAATATAGCCCTTTCCGGTGAATTTGGGTGGTCTAGGGTGCTAAGTCAAAAACAATTATAGCCTCGTTCTACCCAGCGTACATAAAATATGGCTTTGTCATTTGCCGCACCCCACCACAAAAACACTTCCAGGATCGAAATGCTTAAGATTCCACTATTTGGCCGGTTTCAGAAATACCCATAGGATATTACAACATCTCTTTTCAGACTCTCATTTACATGTATTTGACATCCAAGTTTATTTTCTGAATTTCATTTGACATTTTATCTTTATGCGTTATATTTTTATGCTATATTTACATATATATTAAATTTGACAGTTGTTTTGTTTGGGGTATTTAGTGTAGATTTATTACTTCTTCGGTGAAATTTTAGGACCGTGAATCCGTTTAATTTTCTTTTATAAGAGACCTCTTTTATCTTTGGTGTCAACTTAAGTTTTAAATTTGCAGGTATCAAATTGCATTTAGTTGATACACCTTGTCGAAATATAGCGAATACAAGACAACGAACGTACCACTTCAAATTATTATAATATTAAAGTTTTCGCCCAAAAAAAAAGCAGGTTTTAATATTGATGACAAAGTAAAAGGAATAATAGAACATTTATTGTAATAAAGTTTTCGACCAAAAATATTAGGTTTTAATACTGTTGAAAAAAAAATGAATAATAAAACAAAAACACGGTATTTTTTATTATAACAATTTTTCCCGGTCAAAGTTGATAACCTTGTTTGTAATGTTCATGTATTTATAAATAATTTAATTTTCTCTCCCTTTGGGCTACCAGTGACATTTTTATCAAATGTTTTTATCCTCTGATTAGATCTAACCTTTTGTTTAACCGACCGTCCACGTCATGGGGATGGACAGAAGCTGATATTATCATTTGTTAATTAGCGGGTTAGTAAATATAGTAGCTATGTACTCTTTGATGTTAATAATAGTGTACAGTCAAACCTGTATTGAGCGACCATTTAATACTATGTCAAATACTATATATTATTATTATGATGGCTAGTCTATTACATAGTTATGTTCTGTGTTCATTAGAATTCGGCTTTTATTTTGTGTTCATTAGAATTCGTCTTTTATTGGTAACTCATGATGGTTAAAATATTATGGTCGTATTAGAAAGGTTTATTGTATTTGATAACATGGTTCGAATTTGATTAGCATTGTTAAATGTTTCTAATTAGTTTTTCTGTTTGATTACTATTTTATATTAAATGATATTGAAGTCAGATCTAAGTTGATTAAATTTTAATATTGACTATTGAGAATACGTTTTTCATGTAAACGACGATAGAAAGTCATTTGGTTTGTATTATATTCGTTTTAATTTGGTGGTGGATATTTACTATTTCTATTTTTTAAAAAAAGGCATGTTTATTAATTATAGTGGATTTTTCGTCACTGAGTAATTAAGGTACGAAGCTTTATTCCAATGAAAGTTCACAATTTTATTTTATTACATCTTGAAAGTAAATTTGCCCGGGAAGAAACAATATCAAAATCTTAATACATTTTGTTTTAAGATCCAAAAAATAATTGATTTGAGTTTCATTCAAATTTGCATATATTTATTTATGGACTATATATCTCGAAACAATTCCTGTTTAAAAACATGGATGTAAACATTTTAAACCTGATTGTCGGTGTAATAAAAACAATTGTGAACAATTATGATTGCCTTGTAGTACATGCTATAAAATGCCATGACGCGAACGGTTCCAGACAAAATGGTAAGGACACGCGTAAAGCTGTTAGTAGATTTTGCCCAAACTAAACACGCATTTATTTCTCGGTGAAGGGTGCTTGCTATTTGTGTTGTGTTTGTCTTTTGCTAAAATTACTAATATAAAATATCACTTGATTTTTGTAATTAATCTTTTACCTCATAACATACGTGTATTAAATGGTTGGATAAATTTTGTTCTCAAATATATTAAAAATCCTGCATTTTCATTGGTTCATTTTATGTTATTATTTTAGTGCGCATCCAATGAAATGACAGAATGATTAAAAGATTTGGGTTTTATGTTTTTCGGATTCTTCTTTGTTTGACTTTGATTACAAACGCAGTGCAAATATTATCACAAAAAATCTCCTTTTTATGAAGAGATGACTGTTTAGAAACGGAATTCAAAAACTTTTGTATAATATATCTCAAAATTAATCATAAGTATGAATAACTGGATTCCATCTATGGTACGTGTAAGAGACACGCCCAAGATCAGAGACAAGTTCTTCCAACCATAACCACAACTCATACAACAATCATTAGACGAACAGAACAACGGTTGATTCAATTTACGTTGTTTATCTTACCGACCGCCCAGGTTGTTTCTATTCTATCAATAATTCCTGTTATTCTTCTACTTTCTATTGTTCTATGCAGACATCTATAACTATATATATTCTTTTGTCTACTTTTACTTTGTTTCAAATCAAACAATCACCATTGTACTATAGTGTATCATTATAACCACGTGATTAATAATTAACACTATATTAATTAGACCAATCAACAAGCCTTTTATTATAAACTGCCAACGATCCCCACCCCTTTTGTTTCTTGTCGTTAATCAATATTTATATCGATCTTATTGATTTTTACAGGTTCAATACCACTATAGTTACTTCCCCTTGATACGCAACTCGACTACTGGAGAAAGACAAATTCAGTCACCACATTAATCTCTGATGTTGAATATAAAGGCCAAACCAGTCGTCTGCTGTTGCTGATAATTCTGATTGTTGAAGATTTTGGTGGAATTTCTACAAATTCGGTTTCAATGGTTCCCTAATTGTTGCAGTTATATTATTTTCAATTAACGAATGAGTCTTTATTGGTGAAGACAAAATATTTCAAGATGCTGCGATGGCTAAAGGACCGTAAGAAAGGGAAGAAGGGTGATGGTGTGAAGGATGAGTATGGTTTTAAAGGCGGCAAGAATGGTGGAGATTATGGTTTTGATGATAAAGTTTATCATATCTACGAGGAGATCCCTGATCTTCCAGATCTAGAACAATCTATCGGCCCGTATATGGTTGTTCCGCTTGACCTTGGTGACAAGAAGGTCAAATCTAAACGTGTTTCGTTTCAAGACGTAAAGGAAGTATCGGTAGATTCTGGAATCTGCCATAGAGAATTTAATCCATTTGATTTGGTTAACTCTACCAACTCCCCTTCTCAGAAGCAATTCCCCAGAAACATACGAACTGTGCCGGTCATGGGAATCGGACAAAAAACTTCCAAGAAGTCGGACATTACTTGTGCTCTTGTTCATCGTAATAATTCGAACGCACCAGCGTTGCCGGCTAGAAATAGTATCAAGAAATCATCCCTTAGTGCTAAATCGGTTGAAAATGTGACCGAATCTAAACTTAAGAGCAGACAACTCCTCGAAAACATACTCAGTGATTTGTCAAAAAGTTCAGACGATATTTTCAGTGATCATGATTCATCATCAGACGCAAAGTTGAGTAGTTCGTCATCGAATTCTGTGGATGATATATTATGTGAAAAACGAAGGAATAATACGTCTATGGATAGTAATGACACTGGCTGTGAATATGACATGGGTTCGTCTGGGGATAACAGTAGCCAGGATAGTTATGAATACTATTTACATCAAGTCGAACAAAACTTTATTTTAAAATGCCGAGTGAACGAAATAGCGAACGATAAAACAGCTACGAGTGTACAGCGGAGAGATACGAACTATGACGAAGAATCCGATTCGGATTCTCTTACCACTATATCGACTCTATCCCAAGCTACGGTATATCCTGGTAAAGCTCGTCGAACTCCGGAATGTGATTCGGATGAAGGTACAATGGCGGACTTGTCGGAATCTGAAAATAGTAGTGGATATTATGAATCTTGTTCGTTAGACAAAAAAGACCAGAAGCCCGTTATTCGATTAACCAGTGCAATTTTACAAAATTCTTCGCAACGATCTCGATCCCATAAACACAAGACTAGTAAACCTAGAGACAAAAAATCGTCGACCTTGTCCGCGAGTGAAAAAACGACGTCAAAACCTAAAACGAACATTTTAGAAGAAATTTGTGAGAAGTACGAAACAATGAGTGAAAGTAGTTCGAATGATATTTATTCGCGTAATTCCTGTAGTGAAGTTTACTCCCCTCCTCCTATGAGGTCAGAAAATCAAACTGTTCGTAAAGCGCCTAGCTGTTCGGGTCGTGTTGGTGACGTAGGCCCGAGATACCAGTCTGTTGGTAATAATAACAACAATCGACTTTTATCTGATCTCATAATGATGAATTATAACAAACAAATATTTCACCATTGATGTCATTATGATCTGACATCACGTGACACGTGATGTCACTATATATTGATATTTTCTTCCTTGTTTAAATGTGATTAATTTAAATTAAAATACAAATATAATTTATGTGAAACGGACTATAAAGATACTAATAAGGTCTTTGTGATGCCATATTTGGAGTTATGAAGGTTATAATTGGTTAATAACATGATGATTATAATGGTAGTGCTATATTAAGAAAGCAATGATTAACTCCACTCACTTCCGGCATTTAAATGTTACAGTTTTTGAACATTAATACCTCATTATTTGTGTAAACAAAGAATTTGATTTCGTATTTTTGTGCATGTGTGTTTGTTACTTCCATGCATGCTGTTGTATTTTAATTTTTGAGGTATTCTTTTTTTTTTAATTATTTTATTCTATGTGAAAAAATAATCGCAACAAGCCTATTCATTCATTATTTATCACTGTTATCAAAATTGCATATAAAATCTCTTTATTAACATGTATCATATGTAAACAATGGTTTGTGGTTTCTCTCTACAGTTAAACTACTAATTAAATGGTGCTATTTTTCTTTTAGAAAACCACCAATATGGCTCTATGCATTAAGAGTTGTACTGGGATTTCTTTATAACGCAAACTGTTTATGACTTTTACAAATCATACAATATTGATAAATCGAAGCGCCATTTTGAATATCACGTGATATGTACTTAACGTGTCTATCAGCCACAAGAAAGTTAAAGTTGCAATATTTATAAACTGAGTGTAATTTATGTAAATAATATTTACTCCAATCATCTTCTCATTCTTTACTCATTAAAACCTATTTAAATAAAAGCTAGACTTAGTTTTCTTATTGCTCATTATTAGCTATCTTTGGCTTTTTTAGTGCAAGATTTTGAAATCCAGATTCAAACAATCACTTCAGTAGCAGGTGTCCTTTACGATACGTACAATTCGGGTGACCGAACAAATTAATGCGCGTGCGTGAGATCATAAAATCTGCCATAGGGTCTAGTGGCGTGGTTTCGATTCCCCACGTATACGTGACAAGGAGTGGATCCGCCTGTCCAACATTCGTGGGTTATCTCCAAGTCTACCGGTTTCTACCCCATGCTAAAGGCCACTACGCACAAGCGAATTGTTGATGTAAAATTGAACCGTGTTATTTCTGAAATTACCTAATTTGTGTCAAGTGGACTTTAAACCCCATGTCTATCTCTCTCCCTCTCTGTCAAATGGTTGGCAAGCATGTATAATATTCTGTGTGTTTCCAAGGGGTCGAGGCAGAGCTGGATTTACCTAAATATACTTGTGGATACTTGGCCAAACTGATCAGCTTACCCACAAATATATCCCACCAATCGAAGGTCACTTATACTTATTATACAGGGACCCCATTCTCCGAACCCTATGCTCATTGTAAAGGGGTCCTTGTGGCTTTGAATAAGTTTTATAATGAAATATTCGGTGTATACTTGAAACAAGGTAATACACGTTCACGCTGCGCGAAAAATTAGTTTCAGTGGCCCCCAGATACTATTCCTATAGGTAAATCCGGTCCTGGGTCGGTCGCGGTAGGGGGGGGGGGATAAATACAAGACTGCGTTAGGCGAATCTCTAGCTACAACAATGAGGATATGGTTACTTCTTCTGCAATGATATGAATTCGGATTTGAGGAGTTCATAAAACTATCAGAAGATTGTTGAATGTGCAAACACTAACAGGGTAGGTGCTACTTGGACCAGAGTAATATACTAAGATTGCAACGCCAACAGTCAAATGGATTATTGCCATTGTGTACAACCCTTCTTTATGGCAAATTAAAACACATTTAAACATAGTCTGTTCATATTCTATGATAAACAGACCAGTACATTAAAACATCTCAACTTCCTAACTTATTGTCAACACCATTGTGGGTTCCGCATAGTCTCCAACGCAGATTGGGTGTCAAATGTAATGGGGGTGGGGGCGGTCATTACGTACACGGATATACACAGAAGCAATATGAATGGTCTATAACTGTGTGAAGTGTTTTCCCTGTGAAAAACTTCCGCCAAGAAAAATAAAGTTCTTTCAGTTCTAATTTGATAAAATAATCGATGCTACAGTATGACGGAATCGCCATTTTAAACGATCAAGTGGGTAATTTGTTTGTTTGAGAAACTTAGTGCACCTTACATGCTATGAACCATTACGATATAAAAAGTTCAAAAATCAAAGTTTTATGTAAAACATAGCTAACATCGGGTGAAGATTGTTGTGTAACTGAAACCAGCAGCATCTCTTCTTTAACTACACAAGCTTACATTACACCCAATGAACTCTGGTTAAATTGACGTGAGGATGAAGAACTAAACCTGAAAAGATTTCATAATACATTATTGACGATCATTGATTTAACAGAAATTCTAAAGCCCTGTGTACACCACCAGTAACTGATTCAATGGGTAGCTAATAAAACGGTGTCTAAGTGTATGAATAATAGCAACGACACTATGACATTATCGGTAATAAAACTTCTGCGCGAATAAAGCTTTACTTTTCTGTTTCTTTAGCGCCATAGTGACCCCTTCAACCTCTATACCTATCAAACCACTTGACTTAATAAGGCTAAATCAATACTTGAATATTCTCAAACAAATCAAAGAAAAACTCATTTTATTCTTAGCCTGCCCTATCAATTGCGAATAATTCAGTGTTTGTGGCAAAGTTATTTAAAAAAAATTAGCAAAGATGTAGGCAAAAAAATGGAATAGTGTACACTGGCATTAAGAAACGTTAAACACGATCAGATTAACACCTCATTGACTCTCAATCACACCTCAAATTAAACTATCATCTGTCCAAATACCTGTCATTCATCTCCATCCTCATCAATCACAGATAATAGTATATGTGCATTGTCGGTAAAAATCAAAGATAAAGGTGTGTAATACAGGTGAGAACAGACCCCCATCAAGGATGTTATGTTATAAGGTTACAGGTGAATATTGACAGATGTATAATAACATCATCCAGTATTTGATTATACATTAAAGCTACACCTACGCCAAAGCTACAATTGTGAACATTGGCGTATTTATGCGAGGGCCAATGAAGCATACACCCCTCCCTATTTCTAAACATATAACTTTTAATAAGTGACTTATTACTTTAATAAGTAATTAAAACCTTTTGCACCCCCACCCATTTGGGAAATCAATAACGAAGACTGCATTAAAACAGCTCGTGAAACATAAGTGTATTCGTTTGTTAGGACCAATGTTACGTCCCTGTTATGGAGAGTACATGGAACCAAATGGGAGGAAGTTGGGGGATTGCGGGTTGGGGGCGGGGGCGGCTCGTATACAGAACTCATTATCATAACATCATCATCTTATAAGACTGGATACCAACCGATAAGGATGTAGGGAATATAGCACATCCTAACATTTTACTCCAAATATCTTGATGCCCAGCTGCCAGACAGTAAAGAAATGTCACCAACAACAAAAAATAGTTATTTTATTACTGCCCATTACTTTGAAGTTATGTAGATTATGAGGGAGGTGGGTGGGGGCGCGGGGCGGGGGTCATTGGAAATAATGTTTCAAATAAGTTGCGTTGCACACTTCCCGACGTTATTTCAATAAAATCCAGCCTGCCTATTATCAGGTTCTATGCAATAGTATTTTTATAGAGGAGGGTTGTCTCGCCTACTTATTTATAGAAAAAAGAAAGATCGAGTACAAAATAATATTAGACGCCAAGTTCAATATTACGTTACACGGTGGCCATGGGATTTATTAGTTTTCTATTTTTTTCAAAATGAACATGATTGGTTTAATGCGATCAAGCTGTTTTGCCGGCCGCTGTTAGTCAGTTCATAAACGGAATCAAGCATGCGCATTAAACAGAACACTACGATTTAATAATCGGATCTACGTTACCACGACGTTTCTCCTGTCATGGCAGTGTGTGTGTGGGGGGGGGGAGGGAGTCTAGTGGTCTAAAGCGTGCGCTTTAAATTATGAGGTTTGCCATTTTGTCCAGTGGTCTGGTTTCGACCCCAAGATTGTACGTGTTAAGGAACAGGGTCGGCTGCCCAGCCTGACTCGTGGCTTTTCTCCGGGTCCTCTGCTTTCCTCCCACTGATATTTCTCCAGGTCCTCCTGCACCCCCCTCCCCCCTCCCACAAGTAATAAAGTTACTTGTTTAAATACAGATTGCTCCATATGTTAAAGTTAGTCCCGTAATTACATAGTTTCTCCTCTCTGCCCCTCTGCCTCCTCCGGTGGTCTGGAAATGAAATGAAATGAAAACGGGGTTTAACGTCCTACTGTTCTGCTCCTAAACTGGGCTAATGAAGATGAACATACGCCATACAGTGTCCTATGAGGGAAATTTTGCCCGGGCAGCGGCGTTACGGCTTACTCTTATATCGAATTCCAACTACGTGCACGCCAATATGTACACGGGACCTCGGTTTTTCGTCCCATCCGAACGACTAGACATCTGTTCTTGACAGGCCCTCCGCCCTGCATCACTGACAAGGGGAAACCACGCCGGAAAATCTGGATGAACTTTCTCGGCCAATGCAGGGATCGAACACCCGACCTCCAGGCTAGCGAGCCAGCGTCTTACCGGTGGTCTGAAGAGTTGACTATGGGATGGTCATGTGAATAAATGTTTAAATAATAACAATAATGATATAATGTAACTTTTGAAGCCAGAAAAAGACCCGCAATAAGCAGATTTAGCTCTTCCATAATGCATCTTCAACATCCAGTAATTGTTTAAATAGAACTGTTGTACTTATTTTAATGTGGTCCAATCACTAAATGCCGCTTTAAAAAAATAATCGAGTACAATGAACCGGTAGACGACATACGAGAGTACGGTCGTGCCAATACATGCGCAATTATAGATAATCCACTGGCTTGATGGAAGAGCTGTGTACAGTGAACGATTGCCAAATCTATCAAAAAAATTAAACCACCCGTGGCTACCTGGCTGCATGCGCGACTTCAGCATCACTTGAACGTTCATTATCGGCTCATGTCTCCTACATGAAAATGATGGTTGGTATTAGATTTTAAGAGTCCAGAATAAAAATAATGATCAAGAATAAGTTTTTGTACTCTCTGAAATGACCATGGTTTCAGAGCTTCGATAATTAACTCATATTAACTCGTTAACTTTAAAATTTTAACGGGTTAACCAGCTAAAGGAAATTTTACCGATCAAGGTCGGTCGTAGGGGTACAAGATGGAGTGACGTCAGCATAAGAATCACAGTAAGAGATAAGGTGTTTCGGGACATAAATATCATTAAGGCATACAGAATGGATATGAATGGGACTTAACTTAACTTTGCATGGGGTCTGCCCATCTTCATTAAAAAGCTGGCGTAGAAAAGTAAGACATTAAACCCCATTTCGTTTAATTTTATTTATAGCTTGAAGTAAGAACAGTGATGGGACACAACAGACGACGGTGGATGAGACCTAGCTACGTGTAACGGGGTAGTAGTAGTAGTAACATTTCTAAACAGTAATAAACGCCTAAATACTAAAAATCTAGAGTGTTTCTTGAAAGTCAAGTGGTTAGAAAGATGTAACAAGCCGTCAGGTGTAACAATTACAATAACCTGTTGAAATTATCACCATTTTCTCACGTTTATCCATCAGCGCCTTCATCCACCCACCCATACCTGTCTTTATTATAAGTTATTGTTACCAACTGACGGTCTGCTTTCATCTTGCGCGTGCATGTAAATGAGCATGAGCGTTGTGAAAGTGAGCATGCCGGGTAATTAACGGGTAATTTGAGGTATTTTATTGACCAATAAA